GGGGTGGTGCAAAATTGCAAAGAAAGGTTTCAGCTTTAGGCAAGAATTTAAAGAGAGAAAAACTTTTATTTGTTAAGAACTTGGGAAAATGTAACAAATTATAACTTTTAGTATTCGATCTTGTGTACATTTGTGTATTATGACGTATATTATATAAACTATTTTTAAGTTAGATAATGATATCAAATTGTAAAAAATTGCTCATTAGTAAAAATGAATGGTTTAAAACTATTTAATTATAAATGAATCACTATATTGATTAGATAAACTGTAATGGAGAATATATTCTTATAATTTTGAGGGTTTCTAACAAATTAATTATTTGAAAAATGTTAAAATTCTCGTTGATATTGTTGTTTATGTAATTTTAAGGTGCTTGTCTATGCCACTAATACCAATTAAAATAAATAATTTGTTGAAAAAAATTTGCAATATTACTTTTGATACTTATATAACTTTTATATATCATTGTGTGAATTATAATTTGTTACTTTCAATAATAACTATTATATAATAAAATAGTAAAAAAATATTATTACCATTTAATTAATGTAAAATATAAAGGTTTATTACTTTAATTAATTGAAAAAAGGCTCAAAAAAATGACATTAATTGGATAACCTGGAATTATACATACAGATTTTATACTTAAAAAAAAAATAATTAAAAAAAAAGATATTTCACGATTTATATTTTTTAAGTACTATATCTTTTTTTTTGGCCGGAACGATAGAAGAACTATTATAAACCAAGCGCACAAAGTGCGAATAAAAATACAAAGCTCCCAACGGGAGAATAAAGAACAACCTAAAACTGAAAACTGGGAGGACATGTCAGACGACCGCCTAGAAACCCAACTCTAGCAACGCTAAAAACCAAAAACTAGACTCAAATAAATATTTTTGTTTTTTCAAAAGTGGTTGAGTTTTATGTCTAAATAAATATATGTTAGTCTTCCTTTTAGAGGGAAAATAATAAAAAAGTTCATTCTAATTTTCAAATTACGAATGCGCTTTACATAACAAGGACTCAAGGTGTGGATCTTCTCTCTCTCTCTTCATACAAATGTTGAAGTGCTTGAAATAAAGCATTCTCAATATGTTGCATGTGTTAAATACGTAAAATTGTTAAGTACCATTATTTATGTATTCCTTAAAAAAAAAAAAAACTTATTCACGTGAAAGGACGTATACTTGTGAAAAAAACTAATATAATTGTTTAATATTCAGTAGTCCACAATGTTTTAAGAATTTTTTTTTTTTTAAAAAATATACAGGACACGTAGGAAATAGACCCTGTCTAGAAAAATATTTACTTCAATGCAAATACAATTGGACTGGGTCCTGATGATGTGGCAACAAAAAAATAAGACCCGGTCTACCCTTGAGTCTATTTTAAATTCAAGTAGAGACCTAGTCTCTTTGCATTGCAATTAATTTCATTACTTTTCAATATTTTTTTCCATGTCATCTAAGACTTAAGTTTATTTACATGTCATGTAATGCAAGTGTGAGCGTCTTGGCCCGGTTGGAATAGATCGCCTTTGTCCTCGCCGGTGGAATGCCGGAAACCTGCAAATAACTCTCACACCGGAGGTTTTCTGGTGAAGAGCCTTCGATGCTTAAGTAAGTATGTGTATAAGTATACTTGAGTTGAATAATGGAAATCGTGTTAAGTAAGAAAGGCTCACCCCTCTTTATATAGGGGTGAGATACCTGACCTAAGAGCTGCTCGAGTATGGTGAGCTGGCTGCCCCAGCTGCCCGTCCGTACTCTGACATGCCGCACGTATGTCAGAGGTGGTGCTGGGAGTTGTCAGAGGTGGTTGTCGTTATCAACCAATGTATTCTCGCCACGTGTCCTCTGTACATGGGATGATAATTCCTCTGAATATTCCCCTGAAATTCGGCTAGAGGCTCTTTCACGCGCCTATGACTAGGCCGATCTTCAGAATACCGCCAACCCACAGGGTGGTCGATCTGGTGGGGTCAACTTGACTGCTCGACTGCTTGACTGGTCGACTGATTGACTGGTCGATCTTCCCGCCACTTGGTTCGGCTTCTTCACGGTACAACCTCTTCGACCGGTTCGGCAGGCCGGTTTAGCCTTGTGGGTATAATATCCCATATCATCTAGTCCCCCCTCCCTCTGGTCGAGTCTGAATGACTCGATCTAGGAGTGAATTTGTGCTCACCTTCCTCCTGGGTGGTATTATGTCAGATATCGACCATCTGATGAGTTTCCCGCTTATTTTTCATATTAATTTCTCTTTAATCGCGAGAAATAAAGTTGCCTGTCACGCGTCCTTTCTGTCGTGCCTGTCCACCTGCCACTTGTCGTACCTGTCGCGTCTGTCAGGCGCTTTAATTATTGCACCTCCTCGCATAGCGCGCCCACTTGGAGATCCATGTGAATTAACCACTCTCCACCGTAAGATCTTGCTTTAATCCAACGGTTCTTATCTTTCAACTCTTCAACTTATCAAAGTATAAAACCCATACTTAACGAAATTTCAGAGTTTTTTCCACCTTTGCAACTTTTCGAACTCTTCTGCGCTCTGAGATTTCTCTGCAACCCTAACTCTTGTTTTCGACGATTTCTCCTGCGTTTTCAAGGCTTCTTCGATTCCTTCATCCACGATTATGAGTAAGTTGTTCTTCACTTGAATTTGTGTTTCATGTGCTTCATATTTACATGCTCTTTAATTTTTCACGTTGGGTATTTCGAACTTATCTGTTGAATTTTCTGAATTTGTGGGTTTTGCTCCGAATCTGTGTGCTGGGTTCTTTGATTTGTTTGCTGTGTGTTGCAGATTTTGCCTTTTCTTCCACAATTTTTTTTTTAAATTTCTGTTTTTCCCCTTCAGTTTTTCGAACTCGCCTCTCCAGAAAACCCTAGTCTTTGACAGTTTCTCTTCTTCCCTCTCTTCTCTTTACGAGAATTCCTTTTTTGATTCCGCCTTTGCTTTGTTTTTGTTTTTCAGATTCTGCGACTTCTAGTGAAAATGGTCATCATTCTCGTGCCGATTTGAGTTCCCCTTCTTCCTCCTCAACCACTGCTTCCTCTGACTCGGTTCGAGAGTGTCCTTACATCTCCGACGCTGCTCCTCTTTCCATTCTCCGCCCCGGTGACACCGAGCCTATCCTCGTCTTTACCGCTTCTTTTGCTTCTGCTTCTAATTTGGGGACACCATGGACAACATTCCCCTCCGCCGTCGTTGACCTGCCTTTGGCTCGTTCGATGAGCCAGAGGACGAAGACGACCTTGATACCGTTCCTCTTTCTCTCGATTCACCACTCTTACTCCTGCTGCCACCGATCCTTCTTCCTCTCAAACTGTTCCCCTAGCATCCTCGACCATTCCTCCTTCCCCTTCTCAGCCTAACACATCCAACTCTCCATCCAAGAAATCTTCGACCAAAG